CATGTATTTTTATATAGTTTATTCTTTTCAATCTTAATTTTATTTCCTAAGGCAATTGTTAATATGTGGGAATAACTTGAAAAAAAATACCACTCTTTCAGTCCTTTCCTTTGCTCCCGTCTGAAACTCCCAGACCAAACAAGACCATAGCAGGGGCTTGTGCGAGATATTATAAGATTAAGGAGGCGAATCTGGTAAAATGGATTGGGCAGACAAGAAAAGCTTAGCTCTAGCAGAAAATTTGGATATATTTACGCTAATACAGAGTACTTATTTACTTCTCATGTTTTTGTTTGTCTTTTATCTACGGGAAATAGAGGCTATATAAAAATAACTATGGGAAATAGGCCTTAACCTATTTGAGCTTGCATCCCTTTAACCTGGATGACTTGACATGTATATAGGATTACAAAACATGAATACAAAGTCTCAAATAATTTAATAAATCTGAAGTGCAAACACCAAATCTCCCTATAAGTAGACTGTAAATCTGATAACATACATAGGGTCTGTTTGGTATGTGTATCTACAACGCCTAGCTAAAAAATGCAAGATAAGGAGTAGCTGAAACCTCAAAAGTGTGTTTCTAGGATCTAACAGTTGAAACTTAACATGACAAGGCATTGTTTACATTGATTTCAGATGGAAAACAAATTGTGCTATCTTTGTTTAGCAATTAGGTTCCTAAGTGGAAAGTCGGTACTGAAAACAATGAGTGAACTTTCAAATAGGAAGCCTGTATTTAAATTCTTTTATTCTAATTACCTAGCATGAATAGTGACTTATTTGGAGCTTGAATTAAAGTATAAAATCCAAAATTAGAGAGGCCAAATCAAGCGGACAAGAATCTATAGAGTATTTACCTGTGATGGAACCGACAATGATGAGCCTCTTGGAAGGGTAATCAGACTGTTTCAAGTGATCAAAGAGCAATCTTGAGAGCAGAAAGTGTCCCAGATGGTTCGTCCCCACACTCAGCTCAAACCCTTCGGCCGTATAGGTCGGTTCTTTGGCCGTCGGCAAGTAAACAGCCGCATTACACACCACAACATCAAGAGGCCGGCCGGAGCGCCGGAAGTTTTCTACGAATTGCCGGACACTATCAAGGGAGGCGAGATCCAAATGCACTATACTGAAACTGTCCTTCACCATGCCCACAGACTTCGCTGCCCTCTCTGCTTTCAAGAAATCTCTGCACGCCATGATCACGTGCCATTTCCCGGTCTCCGCCAGAGCTTTTGCAGTGGCGAGTCCCAAGCCTGAAGACGCGCCGGTGATAACAACAGTACCTTTTCTTAACGTTTTCTTGCCGGAGACTTGGGCTCCCGTAACTCCGGGAGCTGCCACCATTGTCTGAGCTTTCACAACCCCATTCGACACTTTCCTTTGTCCCTGCAAGAGCCCCAATATTTTTTACTGATTCTCCGAAAAAACATTCCAAAGATTGAACCTTTATAACTTTTATGTGAGAATCGCACCTTGGTTTTGAGTAAGGAGGAGCTGGAGCCAGATTTAGTGTGGTCTAGCAGTGAAACTCCAAACAGGCTTGAATCCTTCAGGGTCGCACCAATGGTTTTACCCTGCAAGAAACACTAGAAATTTGAGCTATGCCTTTGGATTCTTGAGCCTCCAAGATAGAACGCAGAATTGAAATACATACCTCTTTGGGAATGGACAAAGTCTGAGGAAGAAAGGTAGCAGCCTGGAGGGCCATGGGCAATTCTGGGATGTTCTTTATGATTAAATTGAAAGAAAGATGAAGTCTTGGTTGCTTCTTGGCCACAAACCATTTTATACCAAAAGGAAATTAAAAGTTTAAAACAACGATAAGATTTGTTTTTAATTTTTTTTGTGGCATCGATTTTAAGCCACGAATTAGGCTGCACTCATGGATTCCCTCAGATATACTTTTACAATTTTCCTTTATCTTATATCTGAGTGGGCCCGGATGGGTTATTACTTATTAGGGGACGATGGCAATATATGGGATCAAGATGGGACGATGGCAAATAGAATACGGATATAATTTTCCTAATGGAAATTTCATTTTATTTTATTTTTTGTTAGTTTATTTCCACTCCTAAAAATCTATTCCAAATTTCCGATAGAAGTAAATCTGAATGAAAAAATGACCCCAATATTACTGTTGGAGTTTGTATTGACAAAAATATGATTAAATCTGGCATTGACATAAATGTGACCGTAATGTTAAACACTACCGTATCGTCAATGTGTGAGTTCCTCATCTTCTCCATCTGGGATATGTGAGTTGCTCATCTTCGCCATGGATCGAAGCAGATCGAATCAATTGCGATCTGCTTGGGATCTGTGTGCGCCTCCTCTTCTTCGTCATCCATACAACTTGCCATCGCTGCCGGTAGATCTCCATTGCCGCCCGCCCGCCAGACGTCTCTGCATCGCCGCCGCCTCAGGTCATTGTTGCATTGCCACTGCCGCCCTTCATCTCTGCATCCGTCGATCTGCTTCGATCCAATGGCGGTTAATCGCCATCGTCACTGTTCTTCTCCTTCTTTCTTCTTCTCGTTCAGTTCTGGATCTAGGGTTCTGGCATTGCGAGAGATTAAATTAGGGAGGCTGGGATGGGGTTGTAAGGGTGCAAGGCTGGAGAGGGCAAGTTGGGGAGGTTGGAGCTAGGGTTTGGGAGTGATGATTGGGGACTAATGTTGAATGCTGGTGGATGGTGATGTTGACCGGCGGTGTTGGGTTGTTGACCGGTGTTGGGTTCGCTGGGCGACGGTCAATAGGCAGACTGATGGCTAGGGTGGCTGGGACAGGTCAGGGTGCAGGGACAGGGCCTTGGGTTTGAGGTGATGGGGCATGGGGAGGGGCAAGGGTAATGGGCAATCTAAGGTGGACGGCCGGTGCGGTGGGATGGTGGTGCCGGCGGGGTGGCTGGCGGCGTTTTGGACGATCTATGGGCAGTCGTGGGGGTCCCTCTTATGTCAAAAAAAGTAACCGAAAAATTATCCGGCGATCACAGTGACACGTTTCACGGTGATAGTGACATACAAAAATGACATGAAAATCGATAATTACATTTAAAAAAGTGACATAAAAATATGATAGCGACATAATTTTTTTGCAGTGACACCCTATTTTCAAAACGTATAACCTTTATAGTCACTTTTTATCCTTTTATAAATGGTCACATTTTTGGAAATTGACCTTAATTTAATAATTTTCAAGGAAAAAGTCCAATCTGAATTGCTCGAGTAATCCTATAGATTCTCAATGATGTGTATACATCTCCACACATCGGAAGTCACTCTTAATTTATTGATTTTGTTTTCAGATTCTCAACACAACTCCCCGAAAAATCGTCATTGATTAGTCAAATCGTCACGACCTAACAAATACATGCTTTCAATACACATATTATGAACTTTATAGTGGTATGTTGATGCTCGAGATGATTTTTCTCACTCCCGTATTAAAGGAGTAAGATATCTATTGGCCTTTTTGACGAGTATGAATATTTAGTATGATCATGCACAATTGAAGTGTCACTTGTTAATAGTAATCTTATTTGGCATGATATAGTCGGCCTTATCTCAATTCTCAACCAATATATCATATAACACAAAAAGTTAACCAACACAAACATCATTAAAAAATCACATTATTAGATATAATCGAGATTTATATAGCTAGGATAATCATAATGTCATGCTAGAGACCATTTATATCTTGTGGGTCTGAAAACATTATATGACCCATTTTCAATGTCATACAAACCTATAAAGTCACACACATAAATAATTTGAATCCTTAATGTTCAAATATAACATCAAATGCTCAATTCGAAATAGGGATTTGAAACCATATCTGGCTAGATTAGGCAAAAGGGATTTTAGAGGTAATAAACCCTAGTTTCATGTTAGAGAAAGTGCTAACATGTTAGTTGTAGATGATCATTTGCTATAATCGGGTCCTAAACCAGGCAATTATGATGTTTTTACTTGGACTGAAACTTTTCAATCCGGTCTGGTCTGAACTGGTCTAGTCTGATATATATCTGATCTTTGTGTATTTTATAACTATCCAAGTATTGGCTGGTCTGAGACCGAAAACAGTCCAAGTAAACACATCCTGAGAGTCTGAGACCAGTCTAGTTCTGATCCCGATTTTAGTCATCTTTTCTTGTTCTTCCAATTTCCCAATAATTTAATACAAATATTAAAAGTCAATTGTATGAGTAATTGCTAACTGAAAGACGCAACAAGTAACAAAAATTTCAAACTATTATAAATTTCAAAGCATTGAACTAGTACAAATATAACAATGGTGAGCATAAATAATTATTTAATATGAAAATAGTACATAACAGTGATATAATTAACATACAAACAAACACTAATTCAGTAACGGCGTGGATGTATGTTGAATGCTTCGTATTTCGTAAGAAAATACCTTTCATGTTTCCCAAATACAAAATCTTTCATGTTGCCATTTGACATGTTCTTATAGATAGCGTGATGAGTTTGCATTGCTTCCATAACAAAAGATGTAGATATAGTGAAAGACCTAATTAGGGGTGGTACAATATTAATCTTAGGCTTAATATTTACGCTGTTCCCCGCTGTTTGATCTAAAACTTGGCTGTATAAACGTAATGTGTGCTACCAAAACTAGCACTAGTAGGCCCAGTTTGGTACAATGCACCCCTACGGGCCACCCTGCTACCCCTAACTTATCTCATTTTGTGAGAACTTACAAAATTTAGAGAGAATAATGGGCATAGAGAGATTGAGAGAGTGGTGTGTGAAGTTATTTTTAGAGTTTTTTTAGCTCCCCCAAGTCCCAACCCCAACATTCAGCACAACCCCCGTCCCCTAGAGCTCAAAAAAGTTTATCAGATCATATGACATCATACATATGTTTGATTTCTCTAATATTAGAGTTGGAATCTGTCTTTTAAAAACAGAGGTACCTACAACTACTTCCCAAGTAAAAGATGATTCGTCCAATCCGAAGCGGCAGAGAAATTTGTTAATTTCAAAAAAATGATATGATCATCAAATCTACAACTGGTCATTACAGAAAGCCAATCACTTCTACACAACTGTATACCTTACATTTACCCACTTACATTGAATCAAGGATTTTCTTCCCTTTGTATGTATATATATATTTATAGTATAAGTATATACCGAAGTGTATATATTATTGCTACTCTTTAACGCCTAGTCATGCAGACGTGATTGTCTAATTCCCAAGTCCAATCATCCAACTGGTACAGGGAGGGGGATGGGGATAATACCTGACTAATATTACAAATCTCATGGATCTGTACAAATGTTATCCAATCAGAAGCTCCTTCCCCAAAAAACTAAATCCGTATTGGGATTCCAAAATTCTGGAAAGTTCTGATTTCACCCCGGGCACCTGCAGTCACAATGACCAAACCCAACCCGGCAGGCTTGGTCTGATTAAACCCATTGGATAAGTCAATATTAGTGGCAGTTGGAACGACTTTTTCCTGGGGCCACGCTGCGGATATTCTATCGAAGAAGTAGTTGTCCGTGGCACTAGATATTGTTCCATGTGACAGCGATCGTGAGTGTTCATTTCCACATGTGATGGCCTCTTCAACAGGCGATGTCGGGTGGTGATTTGCAGTAGAGACCTCATCCGTTTGATCAAACGAGCCACTGTGTTCTGGAGGAGACTTGGTATTGTCTTGAGATTTCAGTGTTCCAGGCCAAGGAATAGCCACAGAAACATCTTGACAATGGAACTGTTCATAACACTGCGTGACAGTAACCCCTTTAATCCGACCGGGCCGGGAATCGTCTTCGTGTTTCCAGACATATACATAAGAGTCCTCACTGGCACATACAACATACCTTCCATCACTAGAAAGAGAGGCAGATATTTGGCTACGTGAATTGCGAAACCCTGCGATGTTTATTAGAGAAAACATAACAAATTATTAGCATTACCTTAATGTGAAACCCAAATTATGATTGCTTGCCATGATTTAGCGCCTGTTTGGAATGGATTAATTGGCCAGAATGGAAGAATATGCTAAATTTTCTGAAAGGAAACGCGTTTGGTAAAACACGTTTCAGGCTTTCAGCCAAATAATCAAGTCAAAGACTATTTTTCTTGTTCTACTTATTCTGCGAATAATAAGCAGAATAAGCCTATTAATGCTGCCAAACAGGGGTGGCCCTAGGGGGGTGCATTGTACCAAACTGGGCCTACTGATGCTTTTGGTGGCACTCATATTATGTTTATACGGCCAAGTTATCTACAAAACACTAACTTATTTAATTGTGCTGGTTGACTCGCCTGGTAATAGAAAAACATAGTGCAAAAGTTTCTTTTATGGTTGAAATGGACAAACCAAAAAGTAATTAACTTGTACCATTATTTTTATTGTTTTCTGCAATACCTTTCAAAAGCATTTTTCTGCTGACCATAAAAGGTAGAGGAATTGTTTTTAAGGTTTTATGCTTGACTTTAAACATGCTAAAACTAAAAGCATTGAGCAGTTTTATACTAAACTTTAAACAATTTAAAACTAAAAGCATTAAGCAGAGGTACTCATTTTCATTTCATTTTCATTTACCCCAGTGCCGCAAAGGCTCCCACCTACGGTGGGCTCCCACCTATACTAAAGCACAGAGAGACTGTTCCGGATGACCCATAGTGAAAATCGCGTCCAAAATTGCATGAACTGACTGCTGCTTCATAACAAAGAGGCGCAGAGAGTTTAGTGAGCCATTTTACCCAATGGTTCCCTTTTATTTTGCGATTAGAATCTCCAGAAAATACTAATAAAAAGATTAGAATAAAGTATAATCAAGACTAGGAGACACATTCAAGTGTTGTTAATGTTTTCCATTCTAAATTAAAAAACTAACACACCAACAAGTACTTTTACCAAATCCTTGAGCTTACTACTTTTTCAAAATCACTTTTTATTTTCAAATACTACCTGCTTCTAATACTAAACACTGTCTCTAGAAATCCCAAAATAAATCACTTCTCACTAGATTAGGCAAACACAAACACTGCCTTAGGCAAATCATTCATATCGACACAATTTCACCTACTTTACCAACTTCACCGAAACTAATTTGTACCAAATGAGCTCAATATATTTTGAGGCGATGGTTTTGAGTTTCCAACTAATGGCCATAAGCCCATAATTTAAATTTGGTCCTTCAACCGCTTTTTCATTTCATGGGAAAAAAACTTCAAACGCTTAAACTGCAAGATTAGTGTACCTTTAAACTTTTGAACCAGATCAACACCTTCAATAACCCGAATTCGAGAATCTGCAGATGTCACAAGCACTCTTGATGTACTTCCAGGGACAAACTGTTTGCACGCACGTTTTTATAAGACAATGACAATCCAAAGCAAAAAGATGTACTATAAACCCTCATACTGCATGTGCACTCAATGAGATGGGTACCTCAAAACCTGTGATTTTCTTTTGATGAGATTTTTTCTTCTTATTCTGCAGATAAATTTGTCCCTTCTGTTGCAACTTATTCTCTGAAAATGTGAACGACAAACAGAAAATCATATATCAACATGCTGGATATTTTGTCTATTTACTTGAGGAAATGGGAAAGAGAGTGAAAGGCAACCGTAGATGGGTTATTAACTGATACCTGATGTGTCATACAAATGGCAACTCCCCTTATATGAACCAACCAGTGCACCCTTCATAAAATGAAAAAATATATGAAATGATAGAACCATAGAAAAGCATAAATGGTACACTTGGATCCAAATAATATCAAGGGAAGGATACCAAATACTAAAGAAAGTTGTTTCTTTATGTTTGGACCTTGAAAAAGTCAAGGTAAAACGATGATGGTTTTATTTTTTAGCAATTCTTAGTTTTCATATAATAGAAAGTTAGAAATACTGAGGCTCTGTTTGGTAGTCTTGTGTTTCATTTGAGAAAGAGTGACACAGTGCACCCTCCATAAAAGGGGGAAAAACCCAGGAAGCGTTTGGCAGACTTATAGCAGCGGAATAAGTGGATTTTGAGTTACTTACAGAAAAATCCCACAATAGGAGCAAAACATAGCTAAAATGCAAAAAATAGGAGTTATTGTTTAAAATTCCCTACATAGGAGTAATAATTTGTGATTGGACAAAAACACCCTTGTAAGGTTTGATGCTACTAACCACTGCCATCGGACAGCCATCACTGCCCCCCGAATGCCGCTTCCAATCGCCGGACCTCCGCCGGTAGCAGTAGCCGCCGCCACTAAACCAGATTGGTTAAACCAACCCTAAACACTAAGGTACATTTGTCCACAATATATTACTCTTATTTAGGGAAATTAAAACATGAACTCCTATTTTTGCACTTTTCCTCTGTATTACTCCTATTTTAGGCAGCAAAATAGGAGTAATTCAGCAAATTCTTTTACTTATTTGGCAGAAAAATGTTACCAGACGCTTTTCCTTTGAGAAAATTCAGCAAACTTAGCCCCCTCAGCCATAAATTTTTGAAAAAAACTGTTTGTAAACACTTTTTTTGTACCCACCAGTACACACGTCTGTGAACAGGCTATTCTTTTGCCTGCGAATAGCGTGTTCATAGACACAACATGTCCACATACATGTGTACTGGTGGGTACAAAAAAAGGTGTGTACAACAAGCAGGGATGTTAATATTTAGCAAACACCCTAAATGATTAAATTCACAAGGTATGTCATCTGTTTCAGATTTCCCACTGTAGATAATAATGATTACAGGCACCTCACCTGACCATCAGGCGTGTAGCATGCAGCAGTAACCATCTCATGCAGATCATTCCAATCAACAACATGCCGGTCAGGAATGCTCCAAATACGAACTTTAGCATCCAGGGACCCACTGATGAAATATCTATCATCAACAGGGTTAAACTGGATGCAAGTTACTGTGTCAAGGCAAATTCACAATTCAGTCAATTACTCCTTTATTTTGTTTGTTGTGTTTAATTAACAAAAGTCCAACCTCTAAATCCCACCCACCCTAAGAAAAGAAAACCAAGAGAGATCAAACACAGAAAATTAGAACATCATGCTCATGCACTTGCCATAGTCACTGTGTGAGAAGATCTTTAAACAAGACTTGCTGGATAAATCCCAGAGGCGTACTGTTTTGTCCATTGAAGATGAGAGCAAACACTGCATAAGAAGTAAATCATCAATAAGTGTCTTTAAAATACTGGAAAAAAACTCTTGTTACAAGATTATGTCCTGGAACTCTAAAAAGGAAAGCATTACTTTTCGAAGCAAATCTAAATTGTTAGTTTGGGTTTGTGTACCATGCCAAAAATATGTAACAACTAGTCATGTACAGTATTCATAATCAATGAGAAACGGTAGAATACTTAATAGGGAAAAGTACTGTTTTTTACATTAAATATAGGGAAAATCGCACTTTTAGTCCCTGAAATAGACACCATGTTGAAATGTCAGACCCGTATTTCTAAGTTTGTAAATGTCACCCCTCAATTGTCCAAATTATTGTAAATGTGGTCCTTTGAGGGGTGAAATGTACTCCTCGCCCACATTGTACATTTCACCCCTCAAAGGAGTCAAAGGACCACATTTACAACAATTTGTACAATTGAGGGGTGACATTTACAAACTAGGGAACACGGGTCTGACATTTCAATATGGTGACTATTTCAAGGACTAAAAGTGCAATTTTTCTCTTAAATATATTAAACATCATCTCTCTCTAAGTGGAAAATCTATGCAGATAAACATAACGTTCCTACTAAATATGTCATACTTAATCCGTTGTGCAGATATTTGTAACATAGAAAACAAAGAAAACAGATTCTCGACGAAAAAAGTCATAATGTTCAAAATAAAATAGTCAGTCTTAACAACTTCCACTTCTCCCTCTCACAGAGACGTGGATGTGTCTCCCAGATGAAGGTTATGCCTCCTGAGGCATATGAAGAGTGAAAATGGTTGTTTTACACAAAGAATAGCTGAAAAGGGCGGTTACTAATTAAATTTTTGATTTATTTTTAGTTAAATTAAACAGGATCGACCAAACTATAACCCTAGACCTTTTGGTGTTTTTTCTTTAACCAATTACCTTCTTTGTTCTCAACTCAACTTGATAGAAGTTTCCACATCTCAACTTGAACACTTTTTGCTCGATTAGATAGAAGTTTTTGGGAGCAACAGCCAGTTTTGTTAACTAAATTGTCTGCTTGTTTATCCTTGCTTCAACGCCGAAGATTTGACTTCAATATAAGATTGATCGATTATGTTCACAAGTTTTAGAATTTTATTCCTAATGGCTAATGCAACTTAGTTGTCATTTTTTGTGATTTTCACCTGAGTAAATGGATTCTAATAACTTTTATGGAGGGGGGCTAAGCTCATTAATACAAATAGTAACAAGCATGTTGGAAATTAATTAAATACTCTAGATGTTAAACTGCCAAAATGTAACTGGAAAAATGAAACTTAGAGAAAAAAACTGTGTATATCAGCCAACCTGAGATTTAGACCAGGAGAGGTCTAACACGGCATCGGCATGTCCATGAAGGGAACATATCGGTCTTTCAGACAGTGCAAATACAGTCTCTGGCACATAAACATGGTCAAAGCTCACTGATTTTCGGTTCATAGAGGATTTCCCTCTTCTCCTTTTCCCCGTGTAGCCATCCAAATTCAAGAATGCAGAATTTGACTCAGACAACCCATTAGCAAGTAAAAGAATATTCAAACTCCCATCATCAGGTTTATCCAGCAGCAGGTCACCTTTCCTTTCTGTAACCTGCCAGACATGTATGGCACAATCCTCACCAGCACTCGCGAGATACCTCCCATCCAAACTGAACTTAATGCTCCAAATGGAACCACTATGTGCCTGAATCTCCTGAGTTTTGTAGAGAGCTGAAAATTCTTTACAATACTTCCCATAATGTCGGACCCGGACTCTCTCAGGCCCATGAAAAGATGCATCTTGACTATCATCAGTTGCAGAGCTTGACCTCCTTCCACCCTTTTCCGATGATGTGTCCCTCTCGTCACCACTCCTGCGATCCTTATGACCAGTCATGGAGTTTGCGACATTCCTAATGCTCTTGAACCACCCTCCCTTCTTCTTTGATTTAGGGCCACTACCACCACAACTGTCGTTTGGATTGGTATCCAAGCAGTCCTTATTCCTGTCTTCCACATTCTGTCTTCTCATCAGTTCTTGAACAATAGGCGAAGTCCCAACACACATCTCAAATTCTTCCATGGTCAGTTGCCTTCCAGTACCTACTTCCTTAAGCTTGTTCCACATTCCATCCTCTCTCACCTCATTCACCACAAACTCCTTCCCATTATTAAGATCCTTTATAGTACAAACAGACTCATCAGCTCTGTGAACAACCCCATCAGAGCTCCCACTCTGCCATGACCCGCTTTTATACTTAGCCATGGGGGGCTTGTAGGGGGAAACGAAATTGGTTTGCAGCGAATCATTGCAGTTCCTCAATCGATCAACTTTACTGGCACTTGTACTACAGGTTTGAGAATTATTCACAGATATACTTCCACCAACATTGGCCGAGTTGACAGGTGTTGATGATGAGTGGACTGAATCAACAGAAATAATTTCACTATTTTGATGAACAACAGATGAGGAAGAACAAGGAGAATCACTAAGAGAATTACAACAAGCGTCCGACCTCGATCGGACAGTCCCTGACACAGTAATACATTTGATATGACATGCTGAATTAGAATCGGTATGATTATTATTATCAGTGATAGAAAAACCTTCTTCACCGACTCGAGTGGGCCATTTGAACTGATCCGACGATGCGGATCTACCGAAAATCCCAGTGTCGCAGCCGGCATTGCAGTTGTGGGTGGCTGAGGATGAAGTCCGGTGGCATAGAAGGGAGGGGTACGAGCTGAGACCGAGGAGGCGGAGGAGGCGGAGGCGGCGTTCATGGACGGAGGAGGGGCGGGAGATCCAGACATCGTAGGTGTTGTTGGAGAATGGGAACCCGGGGAGATGAAACGGGTCGGGGCAGGCGGTGTTGGGGGAGCCCAGACGGGGAATCGGATCGTCGTCGTCGGAGGGGGACGTGGAGGCGGAACAAGAAGTGTTGGCGGAAGAGAGGAGGCGGTCAAGGGAGTCGTGAAAGAACTCGTCTTCGACTTCTCCGTCGAGGGCTTGGCTCATCGTTGAAGTCGTTGTTGTGATCTCACCGGACGAGGCATTTCCATGACAATGCCCCGAGTATCACTTTCGCGCCCGATCCAAGCCGGGTCGGATTCCCTCCAGCCCCGCTTTACTATATATATATATATATATATATATATATATATATATATATATATATATATATATATATATATATATATATATATATATATATATATATATATATTACGCGCAAATAAATACTCCGTATATTATATTATAATATATCATCATCATAGTATATATTATTATTAAATATATATGGAGCGAAGCGAATGGAGTGAGGACAAGAACAGCGTACAACAATGTGGGGAAGGAGGCTAAAGATCAGACAATAAGTTTTGAAAAAACGTTGGGAACTTAGATCCGATGATGGGGTTAGAGAGAGAGAGAGACAATAAACCGTTTGTGGGGTTTTGGGGAGAATGAGAGGGTAGAGTGGGTGGGAGATACTTTTGTTTGTGAAATGAAAGCTTAGCTGCTGCTATTGGATTTAGATGAATGAATGAATGAATGTGCAGGGGAGTGGATGAATGAATTTAATATTATCAAACAATGTGTCAGGACAAATGAGGAGCGTAGGCATCCATCTTTCTGTTAATGCTACTTTGGACGCCCATACATTTTTTTATATCACTAATAGACTATGTTTTGTTTGGCAATAACATATTCACGGACAAAATATGTTATCCCAGGTCGGTGAACAGGCTACTCACAAACACACAAATAGAGCCTACTCACTGACATGTGCACCGGCGTGTATAAAAAGTGTGTACAACTAGACCTGTCAACGGGTCGGGTACATGCCGGAACGTAGTATCCCAGACCCTGACCTGTTCACCTCTATAGGGTTCCAGACCCAACCCATATACCTGGCGGGTCTACAACTAATGTTCCGAACCCATATCCATTGGGTCTCGGAACTGGGTCGGGTAGACCCGATCCATCTCACGAAAATCCAATTCTAATTTCTTTTAAAAAAACAGAATCTCTTACTATCGAGTACTTTTCTGGTAACAATATGGCACATGAACTGTAATTACTTGTCTGTAATTACTCAATCAAATGCAACAATTTTGAGTTGGTTTATGATTTGCAAGATACGTAGTGTTAGAATAAAGAGTAAAATTAATGGATTTGGAAAGTGGACAGGCTTTTTCTTGAATCTTCTGTGGTGTGCGGACTCTAGGGTCTCTAGGGATCCTTCTTCGGATTTATTAAACTAAATCGTAAGGTGGGCGGCAGCTAATGTAATACTCCGTATGTATATTAGACTAATGTATATATATAAATAAATATTAACGGGTCGGGTCCTAAACGGATCGGAACTACATGTACCATACCCGACCCATTAAATAAAGGATCCGGATCCGGGTCCGGGTAACGGAATTAAATGTAGACCCATACTCATTAAAAAAAGACAGATCCGGGTCGGGTTTGGATCTGGACCCGACACATTGACAGGCCTATGTACGACAACAAACTTTCTTTTTATTTACAAGCTTTATAAAGGATGTTTTTACTTGGACTGTAATTTGCTAGTCTGATCTGGCCTGGTCTGAACTGGTCTGGTCTAATTTGGTCTGGTTTGGTCTGATTTGGTCTGGTCTGAGAGGAATTACAGTCCAAGTAAAAACATCCTAACACATCTTCATTTAATCCATTGTCAAGTTAGATTCATTCATTATCGAAACAAAAGCAAAGCACATAATTTTAGTTAAAGTTGCTTAAGTAAATGCAAATGTGATGGATTCTTATTTTTTATGTTATTCAAAAATGTGGGATATATTTTAATTACATTTTTTGGATATTCCAACAACACTCATTCAAAGCCGGCCCTCCGGGGCAATAGGGTGACCGCCCTACGCTTGAAAAAAAGAAGAAAATTAGGCCCAAAATTTTTCTTTACATATAGTGTGAGTAGGTTTTTTTTTTTTTAAACTCAATTAATTAGGTCCAATGCTTAACTTTTGTTGACAAATGGAAAATTGTAAAACATAACTCAAAAGTTTAACTCTTTCAAAAAAACCGAATTCTTAATTAGAGCCACTCAAGCAAGTTTAAAAAAGAGTAAACATTCGATTCTAAATTGGACTGATTCTAGCCTTGGTGATCTTCAAAGCAACACATATACTCTATTTATATACTCCGTATAAGAAAAGAGTATGTTCATATAAATACTACATCTGTCTCATATTGAATGTATTGTTTTAGTTTTGCACACATATTAATAAAATTGTTGAAAAGTAAAAGATGTGATTGAGTTTTGATTAGAATAAAGTGAAATGATATACATCACGTATTTCTTACAAAAAAGAAACATGATATTTATTTTGAAATAATACAAAAAAAAGTATGATAATGAAAATGTGACGGACATTTGACGCCCTTGGCAGCCTTGCTATATTAGTAGTGCCACATGGCTTCTTCTTTTCAAAAGAATTGAATTCACAAAATGTAGAGCAACCACTCCTCCCTCTCTGTATTAACTCCATTTTTTCTTAGTAATAATTCTAAAAGATCAAAGCTGTCATAGTACTAGGACTCCACAAGTCTTCAATTTGTGTTTTCTAATTCTAACAATCTAATTCAACAAAATTCCAAGTTGTAGAGAGAGGAGGGGCAATGGCATGGGAAACCCTAACCGACGCCTCCTCTTTTTCTCTTCTTTTCTTCTCTTCTTTCAATCTTCTTTGATTTCAATAATAGAAAAACATCTTCTTAATCAGTGTTTTCAGTTTTATTCGTCTGTTTCTTTCCCAACGTTGTTTGGAGGTATTATTTTCGGTAGCAAAATATCGTCTGCCAGATCCACATTCCCCGCCACTTTCGGTCAGGCGTTATTGTGTGCTAAGAAGAGATTTGCACTGATCTCTTCATCAATCAAATACATGATTTTCTTCTGCGCCGATATTGAGACGGATCGCCCCCCTCCTGAACCACCGCCGTTCCAGGAAGATGAGATCATTTGGATTGCTTTCTTTACGTTGGCAGGTGAAACCGGAACAAATTCTGCAGTTGGCTTTTTACCGGTGGCTGGAGAAACCGGGATGTTTAAGAGTTCTTTTGATAATTATTGTGATCGTAGTAGGAGCAGTCAATCTGCATGTAGATTCTACTTCTTTGCGGGATTAGCGATTTGGCGTTTTCGATTAGAATCGTCCGTTTCTATATGTCTCATCCTATTGTAGCCTTGAGCTTTATGATTGTAATGTTTCTTGTCATCTTTATTGATAATAATTAAGTTATTTGTTAAAAAAAACAATCTAATTCAACAAAATTTCTGTCACCAAAATGTGAGCTTTATAGTTTTAAAAATATTAATTCACTAACAATATAACATTCTATTTGGTCAAATATTATATAGGAAAGATACGTCATTTGTACACATTTTGTTTTCTATTACGGTGTAGTTTATATTATACTCCCTATTTTTTCTAAGTATAACAAACTTTAAAATCCGGATTATATTTTTTCTAAGTATATTTTCGTCTCAAAATATATTCCTAGGTATATTTTCGTCTTAAACATACTTCTATTTTGATAAGTATATTTTTGTCTCAAAATATAAGTCCTTCTTTCTCTTCTTATTATTTAGTGTTTTCTTTCTACTTTTCCTATTCATTAAGAGCTTATTTGTCAATACTATATACTTCCTTCGTTCTTTAATTCTTGCAACATTATGATTTTTGCACTATTCACAGGTCTTACTTTGACCAAAAATTTCTACTAATATACATAATCAAATTATTACTTATAAAATGTTATTAAATTCCTATCAATGTGAATTTCCAAAATATCAAATTTTTATAATGTTTTACTAATACATAATTAAATATAATAACAGTCAAAGTTGTGTGTTGGCAAACATGAAAGTCAAACTATTGCAAAAATTAAAGAACGGAGGATAGTATGTAGTATAAAATATCTGATGGAGTATATGGCCCAGGAACCCCCGTCCCACATACTTCCACTACTACAATCAGGGTCAACATGCCCAAGTGGCCCCAAATGCAGCAAGCAAGACTCCAGACAACGAACAAGGCCCAGGAGATGTACATCTCCTGGGGACGTACGTCCTTCGTCACATGAAGGCCTTACAAGACGTACGTCCTCCACACATGAAGGAATCCTGGGACGTACGGCCTCCACTCCTCATCACATGAAGGCCTTACAAGACATACGTCCAGCAACAGTCTTCCAGGCACATTTATGCCACAAGGGGACGTACGGCCTTTAAACACTTAAAGAGCCCTAGGTACGTACGGCAAAAAGTAGAAGGACGTTGAGAGGTTTGCCGGCAGGATCGTGTCACTACTCTGATACCACATTACCATGTCAAAAGGAATAGAGAAGCTTTCTGCTAAAGGGATCGTAGGTTGTGAGTATGGAAAATGTTTTATTCCATCATGTATTCCCAAGTGAGTTTACAATAATATATATACATGGTACAGGCATAAGAGCCGCATAAGGAAAAAGATCACAAAGGAAAGAATAAATTATCTTCCTAATAATTAGCATATACAATATTCTATACAAAAATATTACATGCAAAATGGAAAAGAAATATTTTGGAATATATGATGACTTCAACGGCTCCAACAATATTGATCCATTCGAATGTAAGAACAAACTTTTTATCATCGATATTGCTAACACTAAAATGATTTCATATGCATATTAAAGTTTTCTTTTCAAATATGATTAGCTTCTGATGATGAAACAAGTTCTAACGAAGAGTCGCCCTATACAATTTGTTTCATATTAATCATTGTGTACTTCATATTATTTATGATAAATTTCTTTTATTCAATTCTGGGACACTTCAATATTGGAGATCCATTTATTGAGTGCCACACATGCCGGGCATTTATGTGGTATCAAGAAAGATCAATTAAACATAAAGAAACTTCATTTCCTAAGTATAATCTGTGTTGCGGAAGGGGAACTGTTCAACTTCCACTCTTGAAGAACCCGCTATGTTTCTTCAACTCCTTTTATTAAAGAATAAAGTTGTTAGTAAAAATTACTAACATATTAGAGTGCACAGTATGATGTTTGCATTCACATCGTCTGGTGAAAAAATGACAAGTTAATTAACGATGGTCGAGACTCGCCAACATTCAAAATAAAGGGTCAAACATGTCATTGAGTTGGAAGCATGTTTCCTATGCCGGATCAAGGGTCTTCAGAAAAGACCCTTGCATGCATTTAAGTAAAAGACATATCTTCAAAGTCATTGCATGCATGTTTTCTATTTGAATATACATTACATGTATTTGTTATTCGCATTACATGGTTATTGTTGTAATTCAATTATTCTCAACACTACTATACTAATTCCTTAAGATATGTACACAGTTGAGTTCCAAAACAGGGGAGTCTCTATGGTCATGTACTCATTTTTTTGCATCCACCCAACAAGTATCCAACTATCGATGAAAGACTTTTCTAATTTCACTTTTTGAATGAGCAATGAATGTTCTTTAGTGAGAACAATAACCTTGATGCGGTGCTAGCAAAAAAATATTTAAGGAATCAATGTTACATCTTAAAAGCAAGCAAACAAAACATATCCCAAATAAAAAGATTTGATATGTGTGAAATTTGTTTTGCGGTTTTTGTACGTACCTAGCAAGAGGTGTTGAAAACCACAAACGAAGGTTTACATTATTGGTAGGCTCATATGGGTACCTCCAACCACAAGTGAATTATTCTATTTAAGAATGATGCTCATCGAGACAAAAGAGCAATGTTGTTATCAGGATATTGTGACAGTTGTCAACATTCAATACCCAAGTTTTAGAGAAATGAGTTTTGTGACGTGGTTGTTATGAGTTTTGAGGTTGAAAAAGAATATATTGAAGCTTTGAAAGAAGTTAAGGCCTAAGGACGAGAGCACTACTCGAGAAGTTTGTTTGTCACACTACTCTTATCATGTCCCGAGAGCGGACCTCTGAATATATGATAACAAACTTGGCAGTGGATCCCAAATGGAATTTGCATAAAAAACGAAGATTATCTAACATCCCCAAGATGAGTGCTCACATTCTTTTTTATTCAGCATGTGTCGATACACAATATGTCAAATCTAATTATTTACAATAAAAACATGATAAAAGATACACCCAAACAAATACTCCCTCCGTCACGAAATAATCGTCCTCTTTTGACCTTCACACAGATTAAGAAAACAAAGTTGACTTCACACTGTAGTGACACTGTTTCACACTGTAGCGACAGTGTTTGGCACTGTAGTTACACTATTTGGCACTGTTTTGCACTGTTTGACACTGTTTTGTATAGATTTGTTTACCAACTAAGGAAAGGAGACGATTATTTCGGGACGGACCGAAAAGGAAAGCAGGACAATTATTTCAGGACGGAGGGAGTATCTTTTTTAATTACTAATCTAGTTAATTTTATTACATTCATCATAGATTTACTAATCTAGTCGTAAGGTTGATAGTGCTAGTTGGTTACAAATAATTGTTGTTAGTGTTGGTCTCTTTAAGTTTGTTGTAACAATCTGAAACATAATGATATTAATATAAACAATTTTTCCTTTTAAAAAAATCTTTCAAAGTTTCAATAGTCTGCGTTATTGATTCTGCCGAAATTTATGAAGTTTTGACTGAAGTGACTATATTGGATGATTCTGCTGATTTATGAAAAAAATATGTTGAAAATATATTTTATTAATAAAATAAAGAAAAAATTATATAAAAATAGCTAAAATGCTCATCTACTGTAATTTCAACCAATATAGTCAGAAAACTAACTTTAACCTTGCATTTTCTTATTATTATACAATTCAGTGCGCGAAATCAAAAGTTATGTGTTTTGTTAAAAGTTGGCTGATAAGCCTAGGGATGGACCCGAGCCAGTCCGGTTCCGGGCCGGGGCCGGGCCCGGGCAGGTTTTTTCCCAGGTACTTGGGCTCGGAACTGGCCCGGGTTGATACCGGGTCCAGGCCGGGCCGGGCCTGGTTCAATGTTTAATTTTTTTTGGCTTTCTTGTTATCCCCCGACCCCCCCTTACCCCCACCCCAAACCTCCCCAAAACACCCAGCCCTACCCTAGAAAAAGAAAAAAAATCGAAAAAAAGCTCGAGCCCGGCCCGAATTGCGTGGGCCCAGCCCGAACCGCCCGGGCCGGTTCAACAAAAATGGGGCCCGAGCCCGGCCCGCCCGACCCGCCAAAACGGGCTAAAAGCCCAGAGCCAGTCAACCGGGCCCGTGCTGGTCCAGTTCCAGGCCCGGGCCGGTCCAGTTCCAGGCCGGTTCGGCCCGGCCCAGTCCATCCCTAGATGCCTGGTAAGTCGAAAAAATAGAGACACCAAACACGCTCTTAATTTGGAGCACTGAATTGTATAATAAGAAAAAGTAAGATTGTAGTTACTTTTCCGTTTGTATTAGCTGAAGTTATTGTAGATGATCATTTTAGTTATTTTTCATATATACATTTCTTTATTTTATTAATAAAATACTACATATATTTTTATTTTAAATATCATTTTTTTTAAATCAGCAAAATCAACCAATCCAGTTACTTGAACCAGAATTACATGTATTTCAATATAAAGAACCAATATAGTCAATTTAGGTATTACCAAATCGACTCTAATGTAAAGGGAGGGATTAAAAAATGAAAATTCTCAAAATAGGAGAAAAGCAACATGTTGACGCCATTTGCTTTTGGGATTAAGACTCGTACATATTGTTCTATCAGAAAATAATGTGGTTTTCTTATACTAGTATAAGAATTATCATATTTTTACCATAGATAGGAGTAAAATAATGTCATTAATATTGAATTCATTAATATTTGATACTATCGATCATTAATATTGAATTCATGTCGTAAGTATTGTCATATCATAATAATAATTACTTTAATTCAAGAAAAAACATAGTACTCCTGTATTGTTTTTAAATAACGACTCATACATGAATAAAAAGGGAAATGAGTAAAAATGTGATTTTTTAAAAAAGTAAAAATGTGATTTTCTATAGAAAGACACGAAGTGGTCATAATATTAACTTTTACGTAGTAACTAGGGAGTATTAGGGAGTAATATGTTGAAAATCTTACGTGCGTTTGAGAACACGGCCTTGTTTTTACAGTAAAAATTGATTTCTTAAACTCGATGAGAACCAAAGTAAAATATGTCAGGAAGAATGTAAAACACATAAGTTGATTTCTTAAACTCAATGAAGGAAAGGAAACAAGAAACAAGTTTCAATGGTATGAGATCAAAAGAATTACGATGTGAAATTATTATATTTATGGAACTCAAAGAAGTTTGCCAGTGAGATCTCTGCCCGACAACCACACGGCTATAGGTATGGACAGAAGGGATGGACTAAATAAGAGAGCTGCTCAGATCATCTGTAGCCAACCGCCCCATTGGCACCGCTTTCTGCACCATTTCTGCTAGCCCGGGAATAGTTAGCATAGTAAAACTGAGATGTTATTCCGGTGAAGAAGACGAAGGCTGCACCAGCGGCGAAAATGCCCTTCCGCACTGTCTCACAGGACAGCGTCGTTCCTCGGAAGGCCGATCTGTACTTGGTGTGATAAGCATTCCTCACTGAACCAGCCAGCAGGAGTACCTCCGCTATGAAAAATGACACCCTGCAGGATGGAATCCCATTTTTTGTTCAACCAATCCAGTTTTAATTGGTTGAATCCCATCCGGTGAACTTACAGAGGTTGGTGAATTTACGATTGAATATGTTAACTTATCAAAATTATAGGTATAGTAAAAATCATACCATACAAAAAAGTTAAAGCAGATCTATTCATCAAATCCAATAGCGTATTCAACCACAAAAAGTAACTCTGATTTTACACATTTGAGTTATTACAGTACATATGAAAACGAAAGATTATTAGATTAGTGTGTATTAAGGGGAAAATGTCATAAAACTGTCTCTAAGAATCAAGAGGTAAAACAGTAAAGACTAATTAAATAACGAATGATGAATAGAAAGTTAAATATTTGAATACATACCAGCAGATGAAGAAGAGGAAAAGAGCGCAGGAGCGTGAACCTCCACGACTGAGAGGCTTCCCACAGCAGAAGCAACGGCTGGCCACCATTATAAGAGCTTGGCTAGCCATGACCAATAACAAGGCACCGACTCCATACCCAGTCGCAATGTCAGATGCATACACGCAGTAATCAAACTTCTGTTCTGCATCGCTCTCAATCTTTGCCTGTACATTTCCCCAACAAATCATAATTACAACTATGCACTAAAGCTGATGATGTTTAAATTAAATTATGTGTGGTGTATTGTATTAGAATCAACGCAAGGAAGGAAATGATGAGCCCGAAGTCACAACTCAAGCAAGATTCACATTTATTTAGGTTATTACAGTGCTTCTTCTACGCTCGGCTGCAATCGCCAAACCAAAAGCAATTAGATCAAATATAAACACAGTGATCATTAACAACTTGGAAGCCATTCTTGAGTGAGTAGAGAATTTCGAATTGGAGATTAGGTGGAGAAGAGAAGCTTCATTCGGTTTACACGGATCTCGATTTTCAGATCTCAATCCCTCTCTTCTCTCTCTATCTCTAAATAGCTACACAATGTCGGTGAAGATATAATTTTTCACTCCTGGTGACAGCATCATAGATTTCCATTCTCCACCCGTGAAACACTGTAACTTCCCCTCTCATCTTAAAATCTGAATTTCTAAAAAAACGGCAAAAGGGCAAACGGCAAAGGTTACGGTATAAAATTAAACGTTTTGCCCTTTGTTTAATACTCCATCTGGTGCCACATGAAATTCACACTTTCCTTTTTGGGTAGGTCCAAAATAAACTTCACACTTCTTCTCCCTTCCTTATATGGAAAATTATCTACATCAAAACAGTGTAAAACAGTGCAAAACAGTGTCACAACAGTGTACTCTACAGTAAAGTCAAATTTATTTCATTAATTTGTGTGAAGTCAAAGTGAGAATTTCATTTGGGACCGGAGGGAGTACTATCGTATAACATACTATACCTCCGTCCATTTTAGTTTTGACACAAATTTTAATAAATTGATCGAAAAGATAAAAGTTGTGTTTGAGATTTGAATATAAGTGAAATGTTGTCAATCACATATTTAATTCCCAAAGATGAAATGTGATACTTTGAAACAACATGAAAAGAAAAGTAAGATGGATAAAATAGCACGAATGAAGTACTATATCCGTCTCACTAACATTGTGATATGACAGGTAAAACGGTTATTAACAAAAAGTGAGTTTATATGGTTGACATTGAATTGTAAAGTAAGAGTATAATAAAAATCATTTAGATGTTTTTACTTGGATTGAAATTTTCTGGTCTGGTCTTATCTGGTGAAGTCTGACCAAATTTGACCGGCACGGAGAATAATAAAGTAAAAACTGTGTGGTTGAAGTTTGTGTATAAGAGAGAGAAATAACAGAAACCACAGAATAATTGATTAAAAAGGAAAGTGACAAAGTTTTTTGGGACATCCCAAAAAAGAAAGATGACAAAGTTTTAAGGGACGGAGGAAGTACTACGAAGTACTCCGCACAAATTATTTCTTGAAGCAACTTTTCAGAAGTTGTGGGAGACCAACTTGGAAAAATTGTTTCTGATTCTACCTTTACTTCTAAAAAATTGAAGCAAAATCACTTCCAAAATCTCCTTATAATAGTTACTTTTGCAATTTCAATATTTTCACTTCTAATATTTCTTGAAGAATTTTCGTCTTATATAAATGATCGTACCATGGACACTGACCATGACCCAATTATACAATCCAGCCTATAACGGGATACAGACCATTAGCGGAGTTGGCCCTCACACGGGATTAATGTTAGATAGCCACTGGGCATGACTAGGGATCAAGCCCACGAGAGAAACCCACAGCCAGGCCAGGCTGGAAAGCAAGCCTCAAGCCTGGGCGGAGTTCTAGTGAGGCTGGGATATTCCTAGGGCTGACGTGGCACACTATCATTAGAACGGCAGCTGGCAGGAGTTAACGGCATGAACGTGGGAATAAAGGAACAATCATTGCACACCGGCCAAGACGTTACAAGAGTCCTATTCGAACTAATGCGCAATTAATAACATTTATTGTATCAGTTTCCTTTTGTAACACTAGTTCCTTAGCCTATAAATACGACTTGTAAACCTCCTAAAGGGGATCGAAACATTGATCAATAGAACACTGTCTCACGCTGCCAAATTTCCATCTGATCCTGTAGATTTAGCTCTCGTAGTTAGATTAAACTCCATCATTTGGTACTCTCGTTGAGAGCTCGATCTACGACGAATCATGGTTGGATCCCATAGCCACAACCGTGTGGGCAGCAATTTGGGCGGTAATCGTTTCGAACAAGTGTTGATCGAGGACGAAGGTTCTCGGTCGCGCCGGAGTGACTTCCGAAGGCGCAACGACAACGCGGCGGGACAGGAGGATTTGAGGAATCATCTCCAAGGGGTTGGAACGAAGTTCCAAGCGGGCAGCAACACGGTCGCCGCAGTTTCGGACGCCAGGCACAGGGAATCGTATCCCTAATGTTGACCCAGCCCGAGTCTTAGCGAGTTTGGCGACGTTCCAAAGGGCAATGGAGACTCTGACCACTGCCTTTCAGGGCATCATCCCTGATGAGGGTGCGAGGTCCCCTTCCCCTCGCCGGGCTCCGTCTATGCCCCGACAGGAGGAGGAGAGACGTGAGCACTCTAGGAGGGGCTCACCGCCATCCCGATCTCAACGTTCCCATCGTTCCAGGCCGACCCCAAGGACCTCAGTGATGGACCGAATCGGAGAACAAAGGGTCTCCGTGCATGACAGGATCTCTTCCCGACCTGAGCCGAGTGTGGAGGCATCATCCGCGGCTGTATCGTCCCACCGCCGTAGCGTGCGTGGGGAGATCTCAGAAACAAGATCATTAGAACGGCAGCTGGCAGGAGTTAACGACATGAACGTGGGAATAAAGGAACAATCATTGCACACGTGGGAATAAAAGAGTTAACGGCTGTATATTCCTAGGGCTGATGTGGCACACTATCATTAGAACGGCAGCTGGCAGGAGTTAACGGCATGAATGAGGGAATAAAGGAACAATCATTGCACACCGGCCAAGACGTTACAAGAGTCCTATTCGAACTAATGCGCAATTAATAACATTTATTGTATCAGTTTCCTTTTGTAACACTAGTTCCTTAGCCTATAAATACGACTTGTAAACCTCCTAAAGGGGGATCGAAACATTGATCAATAGAACACTGTCTCACGCTGCCAAATTTCCATCTGATCCTGTAGATTTAGCTCTCGTAGTTGGATTAAACTCCATCATTTGGTACTCTCGTTGAGAGCTCGATCTACGACGAACCATGGTTGGATCCCATAGCCACAAACCGTGTGGGCAGCAATTTGGGCGGTAATCGTTTCGAACAAGTGTTGATCGAGGACGAAGGTTCTCGGTCGCGCCGGAGTGACTTCCGAAGGTGCAACGACAACGCGGCGGGACAGGAGGATTTGAGGAATCATCTCCAAGGGGTTGGAAGTTCCAAGCGGGCAGAAACACGGCCGCCGCAGTTTCGGACGCCAGGCACAGGGAATCGTATCCCTAATGTTGACCCAGCCCGAGTCTTAGCGAGTTTGGCGACGTTCCAAAGGGCAATGGAGACTCTGACCACTGCCTTTCAGGGCATCATCCCTGATGAGGGTGCGAGGTCCCCTTCCCCTCGCCGGGCTCCGTCTATGCCCCGGCAGGAGGAGGAGAGACGTGAGCACTCTAGGAGGGGCTCACCGCCATCCCGATCTCAACGTTCCCATCGTTCCAGGCCGACCCCAAGGACCTCAGTGATAGACCGAATCGGAGAACAAAGGGTCTCCGTGCATGACAGGATCTCTTCCCGACCTGAGCCGAGTGTGGAGGCATCATCCGCGGCTGTATCGTCCCACCGCCGTAGCGTGCGTGGGGAGATCTCAGAAACGAGATCAATGCCAACTGGCAGGGCCGTGGGAATCGACGATCCCCACCTCGGCAGCGAGCGGGCCAGGGCAACGACGATCTCAGGAGAAGACTGGACGAGCTCCGGAGGGAGGTGGATGCCAAGATCAACCCCACCCATGAAGTAAGGATTCCCTAACCATTCATTCGTCAGATCATGGACGCCCCGCTACCCCAGGGATACAAGCCTTGCAATATAGAGGCATACCGGGGAAAGACAGACCCACAACACCATGTTTCCAGATATGTGGCGTATATGGTGATGATGGGGTATGAGGATGCCATCAAGTGCAGGGGGTTTTCCGTAACACTCTACGGGCCAGCCCGAGAGTGGTACGATTCCCTGCCCAATAGAAGGATCCGGAGTTTCAGGGAGTTGGCCCATTCTTTTGTGACCCGGTTCGCTAGCTCTAAGGATTCCAAGAAGAATTTTCTCACCGTTTGGGGATCAAGCAGGGACCCCAGGAAGGCTTAGCTGATTTCTTGATCCGGTGGAGGGACGAATCTGTGAAGATAGACGACCTGGATGACAAGTCCGTTGTCGCTATACTCACCAATGCCCTGAGATCGAGTGAATTGTATAAGGATTTTGTTCGAAATCCTCCCACTTCGCATGAGGAAGCCCTGCAGCGAGCAAACACGCAAGCCGGAGTGGAAGAAGCTGAGAAGAAAAGGAAGGAAGAAGAGGCTGGGAAACGCCAGTCTAAGGGAGAGAGGAAGAAATCCCTTGAAAAGGAAACCCTTGATTCTGACAAGGGGGATGGGACCAAGAAGAAGAAGAAGGGTTGGGGAAAGGGCAAATCAGGTGTTCCTGAGGGGCCACTAGCCAGCCACACAAATTTCTCTCCTTCCGCGCATCAGGTGAGTACTGTCCTGGATTACGCTGCAAAGCAGGGGTTGATCGCCACCCCTGAGGGGTGCAACATCATCCACAATCAGGACACCAAGAACAAATACTGCAAAATCCACAAGAGCGACTCTCATCAGACCGACGATTGTTACATTTTAAAGAAGTATGTGGAAAGGCTCGTACGGGAGGGTCAACTAGAGCAGTTTGTGAAGCGATCTCAGCAAGGACAGCATCCACCGAAGAAACATACCTGGAACAGGGAGAAGGACGCGTCGACCTCATCCTCTAAGAAAAGGGAGGTCGGGGCCCAATTTGAAGATGGCGATGAAGGGGAAGATTCTGATAGATAGAAACGACCACACGTCAACCAGATCTACGACGGACCTATGGGAGGAGACACAACGGGGGAAAGGAAGAAGACGAACCGCCAGCTGTTCGTCGGTGAAATCAGCCATCTTCCCGCCGATAAGAAACAGAAGCGTGAGTCTATAACTTTCACGGATGACGATTTCCCCCATGTCGCCCACCACACAGGGATGCATTGGTGATCAAGATGGAGGTTGCAGACGCGATTGTTCACCGGGTCCTGGTGGACAATGGCAGGTCAGTCAACATACTTTACATGGATGCTTTCCTGGAGGTCGGACTCCGGAAAGAGGCTCTCAAGCAGGTGAGGACTCCCCTTTCTGGTTTCACGAGAGACACGATTGAGCTCGAGGGTATGATAACCCTCAACATCCAGCTTGGATCGGAGCCCTGCATACGGGATATTGAAGAGGATTTCATCGTTGTCCAAATACCGAGTGTGCACAAGGCTATCCTGGGCAGTCCTCTATTGGAAGACCTGGGAGCCATTATTTCCCAGGCTCACATGTGCATGAAGTTCTACACTCCAGCCGGTATTGGGACAGTAAGAGGAGACCAAAGGATGGTCAGGAGTTGTTATGTGAGAGCCTGCAAAGATCACGGGAGAATTGATATGAGGATCAATGCCATCGAACAGGACTTGTCTAAATATGAGGTCGGGCAGCTAAGAGCTCAGCCGGTCTCAGAGCTTGAGGAGGTCGGGGTCGACCCTTCTCGGCCAGAACGTCGAGTTAAGATTGGGGCGGGACTCCCGGCTGACCTGAGAGCAAGGATAGTCCGAGTTCTGGTAGAATTTAAGATGGTTTTTGCTTGGGGACCCGAGGATATGCCCGGGCTTGACCCATGTATTGTTGTTCATCGTCTGAACGTAGATCTAAAGATGACACCCGTGAAGCAAAAAAGAAGATACCTATCCCTGGAAAGGAAGGAGTTCGTGAAAAGTGAAGTGAACATGCTGCTGGGCATCGGGCATGTAAGGGAGGTGCAATACCCGGAGTGGCTCGCCAATGTGGTTTTGGCTCCTAAGCCACCCACCTGGAGGATGTGCGTAGATTACACGGACCTAAACAAGGCCTGCCCAATGGACTCTTTTCCTCTACCCAGCATAGATCAGCTCGTGGATCAGACCGCCGACTGCGAACTCTCCTTCATGGATGCGTTCCGGGGATATCATCAGATCTCCATGCACCTTGACGATGCAGAGAAGACCTCTTTCATCACCCCTGAGGGAGATTTTTGTTACTTGGTGATGGCCTTTGGGTTGAGGAATTCTGGGGCTACCTACACGCGTATGGTGGCCATGGTATTCCGAGCAGTACTCGGAAGGTAAGCCTATGTCGATGACATGATCGTGAAAAGCCAAAAGGCGGGTGACCACACAGATGACTTGAGAGAGGTGTTCAATATCATGAAAAAGGTAGATCTTCGACTTAATCCCAAGAAGTGTACTTTTGCTGTCCAAGGTGGGAAGTTCTTAGGGTTCATGGTTACACACCGAGGCATCGAACCTAATCCAGAAATTGTCAAGGCAATTCTGGATATGGAACCTCCAAGGAATGTCAAAGAAGTTCAAACCCTCACCGAAAGATTGGCTGCCTTGGGGAGGTTTCTATCCAGGTCAGCCGATAAATCCTTACCATTCTTCCAAATTCTGGAGAAGAGTAACGGATTCCAATGGACCCAAGAATTTCAGGAAGCGTTCGAAGAATTGAAGAAATACCTACAGTCGGACCTGGTACTCAGCAAACCTGAAGCTGGTGAGACATTGATCCTTTACTTGGGCGTGACTCAAAGCGCAGTGAGCTCCGTCTTGGTGCGGGAAGAAGGGGTCACCCAGAGGCCGGTTTATTGCGTGAGCAAGGTCCTCCATGGAGTCGAGCTCAGGTACCCAGCCCTGGAGAAGATTGCCCTTGCTGTTTAAATCGCAACAAAGAAACTCGCTCATTACTTCCAGGCTCATCCTATCAAGGTGCTGTCAGACCTGGGGGTGGGAACCTTGTTTCGAACAGCTAAGACTGCACGAGTCATGAAGTGGTCCTTACTGATTAGCCAATATCAAGCGAGCTTCCAACCTAGAACTGCGATAAAAGGGCAAGCACTGGCGGACTTCCCGGTAGAGTGTACCACGAGAGACATAGCTGAAGAAAGGCGCCACGAAGAAGAAGACTGGTGGACCCTAATGACTGATGGATCATCATCAGGATCCAAAGGTTGCGGAGGAGGGGTGGTCCTCATCACCCCTGAAGGTTTCAATTCTTACCACGCCCTAAGGTACTCATTTACGTTATCCAATAATGAGGCTGAATATGAGGCCCTCTTATCCGGTCTCAGAATTGTGAGGCACTTCAGAGCTCAAAAACTGAGGATCAAAAGCGACTCTAATTTGGTCATCAAGCAACTTAGGGGGGAATATGAGGCCAAGGAAGCCCGCATGCGAAAATACCGGGATGCATCCCTGGAGATCATAGAACATTTTGAAAAATCTGGCCTACTCTGCATCCCGCGAGCTCAAAACACGGAGGCAGATACTCTGTCGAAACTAACAACTGATGCTCCTGAACATCTCACATGTATAGCTCAAATACATGAATTGAGCAAGCCAAGCATCGAAGGCACCAAAGACCTGGAGGTCTTACCAGTCGATCAAGCTCCGAGATGCTAGATAGATGATTTGGTGAAGTATATCGAGAACGGAACGCTCCCCCTAGAAGAGGATAAGGCGAGAGTAGTCAGGAGGCGAGCCCCTAATTATGTTATCCAGGATGGCAGACTCTACAAAAAAAGCTACAATAGGGTACTCTTGAGGTGTCTGAGGATAGATCAAGCCCGGCAGATAATCAAAGAGTTACATGAAGGAATTTGCTCATCACACCAAGATGCGTTTACTTTGAGCAGAACGACTATCTTACAGGAATACTTCTGACCAACCATGATAAGGGACTGTGCGGACTTCGCGCGAAGATGTGAGGTCTGCCAGAAATTCCAAACAAATCCAGGCAGGCCAACCACCTTGTATATCCCGATCAACACTGCAATTCCCTTCTCAAGATGGGGAATAGATCTCGTGGGTCCCCTTCCGTAGGGCTCAGGAGGTTGGAAATTCGTGATAGTAATAATTGATTACTTTACCAAGTGGGTTGAGGCCGAGCCAATGGCCACGATCACCGCAGAACAATGCAAGAAGTTCGTCTGGAGAAATATCTTCTGCCGGTTCGGTGTTCCCATACAGATTATTACTGATAACGGAAAGCAATTCGAATCTGATACCTTCAAAGAATTTTGTGAGCAGTGGGGTGTCGAGGCCAGCAGGGCATCTGTCGCTTACCCTCAATGCAACGGGCAAGTTGAAAATGTGAATAGAACGATCGTTGGTGGCCTAAAGAGGAAAATAGAGTCCAGGGGAACAACTTGGGTAAATGAACTCAACAATATCCTTTGGGCCTACCGCACAATCCCAAGAAAAGCAACTGGGGAGACCCCATTCGCCTTAACCTATGGGTTCGAGGCCCGAGCTCCTTCGAAAACCCTAGTCCCAAGCAGAAGAGTAGAATACTATGATCCTGATAACAACAAGGAAATGTTGAGGGCCGAGCTTCATCTGATTGAAGAAAAGAGGGATAGAGCCTTCATCAAAGCCAAGAATTATAGAAGGCAGGTAAAGGAATACCACGATGCAAGAGCCAAACCGAGACAATTTAACATTGGAGACCTGGTCTTGAGAAGGAGGTCGGCCAGCAAGCCTCTAGAGGGCGGCAAATTTGCCAGAAACTGGGAAGGCCCATACAAAATCAAGGGAATAATTGGGCCTGGAACCTACAAGTTGTGCACTCCTAAAAGAAAACTGGTAGATAGAGTGTGGAACTCTGAACACTTGATGAAGTTCTATCAGTAAGCATGTAACCCTCTATTCCTCACTCCAAATTTTAATGAAAGTTATGATTTGATTCACTTAAGTCCTTTATAAATTGCGAAGATCTTTCGACCAGCCAAAAAAAAGAGGGCTACGCCTAATTGGTACTCGCAAATAAGACAAGGTATAAATTCCAAACTCATCTAATTCAAAAAGCTCAACTTAGTCTTCCTAAAGACAAGAGCGGGAATAAAATAACCTTCCTCAAGGTTAAACAGCCCTATACGTACACAAAATCAGATTTCCTCAAACAGGAAAAGACAACCTCTCGCAAGGTTAAGGTTTTAAAGGGCTAAAGATGAAATTTATGGAATTAACTTTGCACCGGAGAAGCCAACGAGATTCGCCAATCAAGAGGCTAATCACTAAGGTCTAAGTAACCTAAGGTGAGGCCCACCCAGTTTGGCTCAACTATTGAGAGCCTATGGGTCCAGGATTGGTAAAGTCATCCTTAACGAAGGAAAGACGACCTTGACCGGAAATCCAAGGCCAAATACATCAAGGACCAAGTGAATCAAAATAACTAAGTAAGGGGGTTCAAGGGCCACCCTGGAGCGTATGGATTGTACAGGTTCAAGACAAAGGCCAACTACCAAACGACAACAAGTCTAAAGGGAGAAACCAGCCAAGACAGGGTCGGAACCCCAAATGAGCATCGGTATACAGAACAAGTAAGCAATCAACAGAGATGATCAAAAAGCGGTCACCGAAGTATATATGCAGAAAGTGAGACAAAATGTAAAGATGTCAATTACACGCCACCCCAAGGGTGGAAAACCACTACAGGCACGCAGGCCTGGAAAAGGTGTTTGTTAAAGTGTCATGGAAAGAAGTTATCAATTACCAGATTGGGCAGGAGGAACTTCAGAGGCAGGGTATCGGCAGCCGGGGTCTCCGCAGGGGCTTCTGGATTCATCATCAATTCCGGCAAACCCCAGGCCTGAGCGGAGAAGGAAGGGTCTCTCTTTGCAAGAAGATCATACAGGGACTTCTGCATCCCATATTGCCCCAACTGAAAGCACAGGGCACCCTCATCATCTAGCTTGGCCTCACCCTCAGAGGTCTGGAGCCAACCTAAAGCAATTTCCTCCCTCCGACCCGAGATTATCTGCTCCACCTCGGCCGCAAAATCCTCGCTCCCCCTGAAGGCCTGGATGGCGGCCGGGCCAGCCTCCTCAGCTTTCCTCCTCAGCTCCTCCTCCACCACACGGTGCGCAGCCTCGACATCGCTCAGCCTTTTCTGTACTGTCTCACCCCTCTGCACCGCCACTCCCAGCCTCTTCTCCAGATCAGCAATTTGTTCCTTGAGACCGGCCATCAGGGTTTGAGCGTCATCGTGCCCCTCATCTAGGAGACGGGAGTCTGAGGAAGCCAAGATAAAAGCCTGGAGACAACAAGACCAAAATTATGAGCAAAGGCAAGTTAGAAGAATTTAAGGCAGCTATAGAGACAGTGAAGCACACCTCAGAAAGAGAGTGGACGGCGCGTCGGATGGCTGTCCGGGGAGACAAAACCCAGATCTCCTCTTTGTCAAGGGGAGGAGTGATGGTCAGACCCAGCGACACCGGGTTCACGGTGCGTCGGAACAGAGAGACAGAGCGGGATTTCATGGAGAGGCGAACGGAATGGACGGGTCCCAGGGTTTCCCCCTAGGCACCACCCCCTGAGACTGAGCATCCGAGTCGGAATCCACATCGACAACATCTTCAGAAGACTTAACAGCAGCTTTTCCTTTCTTCCGGGGCCCGGAGATAGGTCGGAGTGCCAGCCTCTTCCCATCCCCCTTATCACTGGGGGGTTGAGGGTCAACGACCAGCGTATTCAAAGGCTCGGCACTATCCCCGGGGGCGGATCCCCCTGACTTCTCTGGGGCGGCCCCAGCACTTCCCCGAGTCTGGATCTTCCTGGCAGGGACTAAGGAACCAGGGGTGACACCAGCCTTCGCCGCAAGCCGTTCCAACCGGGAGGTCATCTTCTCACCCGCTACAACAAACACGAATCAAGTCAGAAAGGGGGTATCGAGAAAATAAAAAATCCAAAGAAGACGCCAACTCAGACAAAGCCGACCTGGCGAAAAGGTAAGCACAACCACCCGGTCCTCACCTACGTAATGGCCCATCAGAAATGGTGCACCATCGGCGATCAGCTTGGCAGCCTCCGCATTGCCCTCTGACAGAAAAGGCATGGCCCATTTCCGAATCATCTCCCCCACTTATTCTCAAATTGCAGCCTCCCATCCGCAGGGGTGACCCATATCCACATCTACCTCCAACCCTTGAAGGAGTCGGGATAAGACTTGGCCTCGAATAAACGATGACCTGCCCGTTGAGAAATCGAGAGGTACCTTGGGGACTCAGAACCACCAGGCCGAACTGAATGAAAGAAATGGAGGAAGAGATCGATTGCGGGGCGAATACCTAAATGCAAGCATCGGGCAAGGAACCCGGCTATGAACATGTGGGTAGTTGGGGAAAATTGACCCGGAATCACGTTGTAGTAGCCCATAACACTCAAATGGGCATTGTGGAGAGGAAATCGAAGGCCTACTTGCAAACTAGCCAGGTGCACCCCAAAATGAAGAGGAGAAAGGGGTTCTACAATATTCTGCCTGGGGGTAGGGCGGGAGCAAACGACACTAGGGCCCGCAAGGGCCACTGCCTCACCCATTTCAGTGTCGGATAAAGCAACGGCCAGGACCTACCGGGCGTAGTCGCAAGAAAGGAAGAAGTGGGTCTCCCTCCCATCCTGGTCCACCGGGATACGGGGCCGGTTGGAGATGGCCCCTGCTTCAGGAAATACATGGTGCAGGGGGATGGAACTCGAAGAAGACATCAGGGAAACTAACCTGATGAAGTTTTGAAGACGGAGGAAAAGGGTTTCGCGGCCTAAGCTCCCAACCAAGAAGACGAGTGCTAAAGCAGAAGAAAGATTGCGAAAGAGCGTAATGAGGGACAATAAGCGTTTAAATAGCCAAGAAATTAGGGCTTGAAAACCGCTTGGGAACCGCAATGATAACACTTGAGTGCTGGAGATGGTAAGTCGGCTCGGGAACTGTACCGGGTTGCAGGCCTATGTCAAGTCGGGCGCATTTAATGCAAGCGGCGCTACAATTCTCCCAAAAGATTCCAAATTTGAAATTGTACGCTCCAATTTACTCTCCTAAAATCTAGTCTCGCTGATTTTAGAGAGTAGGGGACTCGTGATGGTACCATGGACACCGACCATGGCCCAATTATACAATCTAGCCCATAACGGGATGCAGACCATTAGCGGGGTTGGCCCTCAAACGGGATTAATGTTAGATAGCCACTGGGCCTGACTAGGGATCAAGCCCACGAGAGAAACCCACAGCCAGGCCAGGCTGGAAAGCAAGCCTCGAGCTTGGGCGGAGTTCTAGTGAGGCTGGGATATTCCTAGGGCTGACGTGACACGCTATCATTAGAACGGCAGCTGGCAGGAGTTAACGGCAAGAACGTGGGAATAAAGAAACAATCATTGCACAACGACCAAGACGTTACAAGAGTCGTATTCAAACTAATGCGCAATTAATAGCATTTATTGTATCAGTTTCCTTTTGTAACACTAGTTCCTTAGTCTATAAATACGACTTGTAAACCTCCTAAAGGGGGATCAAAACATTGATCAATAGAACACTGCCTCACGCTGCCAAATTTCCATCTGCTCCTGTAGATTTAGCTCTCGTAGTTGGATTAAACTCCATCAATAAATATATAGAACAATGACTAAAATAATACTTTCAAGTTTTTCTTGGACAACAATAAGACTACTTATTGATTTAGATAAAAAAGAGATATTAGAATTGAAAAGACCTGAAATGCCCATTCATAAAAATCAAATTCATACTCTCCCGTCACCAGCCGACCGCATAAAGCTTATATTTGAATCTCATAAAGCTTATCTTTTTTTAAATAATAAATAAAGCTTATCTCTAAATAATTATTAAATAAATAATATATTACATCAAAGTCACAATACGCTAAAAATTCAAAAGTTAAAAAGAGTACCTAGACTTAAATATTAATAATTGAATATATAAATTAAAAAGCTATATATAAAAAAGACATTGGAAATTCACCGTTCATCTCTTTCAAATATAAATATTACTCAATAATATATTATTAGACCAAAGAATTAATGATTTATTATATACACACATATGTATGTAGAAGTATATTTGTAGTATAATTTTTTTAAATAAGTATGTATACTTATATATTGAGCGGGGCGGGGCGGGGCGGGACGGGTCGGTGCGGCACGAGTCAATACTAATACCCGGACCCGCTCTATTGTATGGTCAGGGCGGGCGGACGCGACCCATTTGCAAGATGAGGCGGGGAGGACCCGCCCCAAATGTTTCAGGCCAGGGCCGGACACCGTGGGTCGTTTTTTTATATGCCTATGTCAAACTTGACCAATCTATGTCAATTCTGTGTGAATACCGTTGTTTTTTGTACTTTTGTAGTGATGGCTTCGAAAATTCCTAAAGCTAAGCGAGTTGGAAATGGTTTGAATGTTTGATGAAGGTTGAGGTTGTAATATACGACAATTACCTTACATGTTTTGTCATTAAAATCCATATATATATATATATATATATATATATATATATATATATATTTATGTTTCACGAGTAGTATTTTTTACATTCTTATCTTGTACTCTTGTAGTCAACTTTGAGAGGTGAAGGTAGTCCATGTCCATTGAGAGATTGATACGATTGGTTTAACGATCCGGGTCTGGGTGAGTTTAAAACAGTATGAAATTATTTAGAGGATTAAGACCGGAGATGCTCTTTATCGATGAATCATCCCTTAAACGTTTTAATCGTGGAATATTTTTACATGTATGCCTATGTGGCTCTCAAAATTACAAAGGAGTAGGGATGGACTCGGTTCGGGTGGCCCGACCCGGAACCGGCCCGGGACCGGTACTGTTCTGGCCCGGCCGGACCCGGTGGCCCGGTCAGTGACCGGTCCGGGTAGGCCCGGCCCGTGGGTTTTCCGGTCCGGGCTCGGGTCACCCAAAACAAGGCCCGACCCGGCCGGGGCCGGGCCCGGTTCGGGCCAAAAATTATTATTGTTTTTTTTTTCAATTTTTTTTAAATTTTTGGGTTGGGCTGGGTATTTTGGGCCAATTGGGGTGGTTTGGGGGTTGGGGGTGGGAGGGGGGTTAATTAGGAAGAGGAAAACAAAAAAAAAATATAATGGGCCCGGCCCGGCCCGGACCCGGTGGTTACCCGGGCCGGTCCCGGGTCCACCATTTCTGACCCGCCGGCCCGCCCGGGCCTAGGCCCGACCCGGTCCCGGCCCGGAACCGAGTCCATCCATACAAAGGAGGTGTATCCTTCCCTCGCACTTCTCCAGAAGCAAAAGTTGTCTTCTGGGGACCCCAAATATAGCTAGGTACTGCTTTATTCACTCAACATTAGGTAATTGCAGCAGTTTATAAGAAGGTGATAACCATAACTTTCCCAAAAGATTTTGTTGGATGAATTCCAGGAATCAACTTACATTCTCATTAATTTGGAATTTTAGCTAGGTGATTCCGTGATTTATCATTTTATTGTACTATAATACATTATTTTACTTTTAGTGAAAATAATATTTTGCAATACAAGTAATATTTTACACATAAGTTATTATGGGGTTTCACACATTTAAAATTTTGTTGTACATGGGAGGATTTTAAAAAATGTTGGTCAGCCCTGCCTTTAAACAGGTACCGCTATTTCAATTCACAACAACATCCAATTCAAACATTACCTTGCATTGGAACCACATTCTCTTTCCATTAGCGTGACGTCAAAGCTCAACTTACATCCTCCCGTATAACTGTCTAGTCGGTTCTACGGGACTCTCAGGGATGAAGTGTCATTCTTTTTTTCCAGCATTACATATGCTACAATAAATTATCCAATCACATTAAAGTGCGAAGCACACATACATTGTACAACACTACAACATATAAACCACTGTACTTGAAACTTGCCTAGCTTAGCTTTTGTTGCCAGCCAGTTAGCTTCCCTGTTCCCATTTGCTCAATGGTATACACACATATAACAAGTAATGAGGATTTAGACACACACAAAAACATACAACAGGTATAGGAAAATGGAAAGGATGACAATGTATCAGCACTTCTTCTGCAGTATCTGTAAAGATTCATCTCTGATCAAAACATAGTCGAATTTGCCTTTTCCATGTTGTGGAGATTTATCTTGGTGAGGAAATCCCGGTACCAGGTGGCAGAGAGCCTGGGGACTCGACGCAGAGTGTCAGGTTCTACGTAATACAGCCCGAATCTCGTCTCATAACCATCAATCCATTCAAATGAGTCCAGCAAGCTCCAAATGAAATACCCACGCACATCAGCACCATTGCTACCAACATTGATAAAAGGGAGAGGTCATTAAAGCAAACCATGAGAGTGCATAATGTAGAGATCTTCCACCTTCTTTCTTGGAAGTTGCCAAGAGGCATCTCACACCTTCTTGGAAGGAACTCTCCAACAAATAAACATGGAAGAAGATATGGGGATAACTATGGAAGCTTGGATGAAACTTCCTCTTGTCTCCAAACTAGCCTATAAATAGAGTGTTCTTGATATTGAATAGAAGAATTTTCCAATCCCAACAAGTGGTATCAGAGCGAGGTTGAGTTTCCATACATTATTTTCTCATTTTCAGATAAATTTCTACAGGTTAGAAAATCGTGATTTTTGAAGTTGTTCGGAATCACGATCTGATCATACCGTTAGACTTGTCTCGTCGAGACGAGAAATATGGTATTTTTGGGGAATTTTTGGCCACCGGAAGAGTCCGTGCGCGCCGCCCAAACGCTGCCGGAAAACTGCCTGCATCATCACTGCGTCATCACGCAATCCAGAGGAAGAAGACGATCCACGTCAGCTGCCACGTCATCGCCACGTAGGACCACGTCAGCGACACATGGTGCCGAGTGAGCCGCCACGTCATACACTCGAGCCGTCCGCTGTGAGCCACGTCAGACGCCACGTGGCTACACGTCATCGTCACGTCAGCGAGGGAGCAGAGCCACGTCATTCGCCTGCTGGGCTGCAGGCTGAACTGCTGCCTGAACCGGACCGAACTGATTTGTAGTTGTGGAGGCCGGTTCACCCATTTCCAGACCGGTTTTGGACGAGGTCAGACCGGTTCCTACCATTTTCGGCCATTCCGGATCCAACGGTGAGCTCCGTTTGTCCAAATTCGGCTTCGAAAATAAGGTACGAGATATATTGAGTGTTTTATCATGCTAAATTTGAGGGATTTAGCCGATCCTCTCGATAATAATGGCGTGAAACCGGATAAAAAGACGGATGAAGAATGGACAAAAATGAATCGAAAAACTGTCGCACAAATTCGAAAGTGGATAGATCATAGTGTGTTCCACCATGTTGCGCAAGAACAAAGTGCTTACACACTATGGGAGAAGCTTGGTAGCATGTATCAAGCAAAAACCGCTCGAAATAAGACGTTACTAATGAGGTGATTAGTAAACCACAAATTGCGAGGTGGTATTTTTGTTTCAGAACACACCAGTCAATTTCAGGATCTTGTGCCCTCATATGCCCTCATATCAGAAACTAACAGACGAGGGGGAGGCAGAAATGGAGGAAGAAGTCGGGGTCGAGGTAGAGGCCAAGGTCAAAATAGAGGAAACTCTCAAGTTCGCGGCAGATCACAAGAGGGAGGTATGTCCTTTGAAAACAATACTTGATTTGAAGGATATTGCAATTACTGTAGTAATTATGGGCATAGAAAAAGAGATTGTAGAAAGTATCTACGAGAACAGCCACAGACGAGTCAAAATACTAGCCAAGAAGATGGTGCGACCATGGTTAGTTTGTCATCAGACGAGTTACTTGTTACACATGGTGAACAAGAATGTTTACACGTAGGTACTCATGATGTTGAGTGGGTGGTTGATACAGCCGCATCATTTCACGCCACTCCACACCAGAACTTATTCACATCTTATAAGTCCGGAGACTTTGGAGCTGTGAAGATGGGAAACACCAGTTTCTCGAAGATTGTTGGCATTGGTGATGTACACATAACAACCAATGTCAGATGCACACTTGTGTTGAAAGATGTTCGACACGTTCCGGATCTTAGATTGAATTTTATCTCCGGTACAGCTCTGGATCAGCAAGGATACCTTAACCGATTCAAAGAAGGTACGTGGAAGCTATCTAAAGGTTCCTTGGTTGTTGCAAGAGGCCATATTCGTGGTACTCTTTATAAAACTCATGCAAAGTTGTGTCATCCGAGTCTCAATGCTGTTGAAGAAGAGATATCACCAAACTTATGGCACCGAAGGCAAGGCCACTTGAGCGTGAAGGATTGACAACTCTTGCAAAGAAGGAAGCCATTTCCATAGGCAAAGGTGTTGCCCTAGATCCATGCGAGCACTGTTTATTTGGGAAACACAGAGTTTCCTTCAGTTCTACCAGGAAGAAAAATTCAGAGTTACTCAGTCTTGTCCACTCTGATGTATGTGGACCCATTGAAGAGGAGTCACTTGGAGGAAGCAAATATTTCGTGACATTCATTGATGATGCATCACGAAAGGTATGGGCTTACTGTCTAAAGAGTAAGGATCAAGTGTTTGATCGTTTCAAAATATTTCATGCGATGGTAGAAAGAGAAACAGGGAAGAAGCTGAAGTGTCTACGTTCAGACAATGGAGGAGAGTACACTTCCAGGGAATTCTCATCATATTGCGCCGCATATGGAATCAGACATGAGAAGACGGTTCCACGAACTCCACAACACAATGGTGTAGCCGAAAGAATGAACAGAACCATTGTGGAGAAAGTTCGTTGCATGTTGAGTATGGCTAAACTACCGAAGCCATTCTGGGGTGAAGTTGTTCTAACAGCTTGTTATCTTATAAATAAGTCACCTTCTGTTCCTTTAAACTTTGAAGTGCCAGAGAAGAAATGGTCAGGAAGAGATGTTTCTTACTCTCACTTGAAAGTGTTCGGATGCAAGGCATTTGCACATGTGTCCCAGGAGTTGAGACAGAAGCTTGATCTCAAATCAAACCCATGCATTTTCATCGGCTATGGAGATGAAGAATTCGGATACCGGTTGTGGGATCCCGAAGTGAAGAAAGTTATACGAAGCATAGTTCTCTCGCAGGAACGAGAGAAATAAAGAAAAAGGCGGAGGGGGAGATTTGTAGAGATCTTCCACCTTCTTTCTTGGAAGTTGCCAAGAGGCATCTCACACCTTCTTGGAAGGAGCTCTCCAACAAATAAACATGGAAGAAGATATGGAGATAACTATGGAAGCTTGGATGAAACTTCCTCTTGTCTCCAAACTAGCCTATAAATAGAGTGTTATATTGTTGTTCATATCATCAGTTTTAGAAAGTGAGAAAAGTGTGTGAAGAGTGAAATACACTTAGAGTAGAAGTGTATTGGTGAGGATTGGTTTTTTGTAATAGTTGAGTGTGAGAGTTTGCTCCTCCTATTGTAATTCTGTTCTTGATATTGAATAGAAGAATTTTCCAATCCCAACATATAAGGCCATATCGAAATATCCAAGACTCAAAGAGAGTAGTCATATGGGGGTTAAATTAGGCCCTCAACCACATCTCATGTGGACTAGTTAGGATGTTTTCTTTTGGACTGCAACTTGCTGATCTGGTCTGGTAAATGTCTGGTCTATGTGTATTTTACAGCTATGGAAGTCTGGTCTGGTCTGTTTTGTTCTAGTTCGATCTGATATGGGGCTGAAAACAGTCCCATAGAAAACATCCTTAATCAAATGGATTCAATTTTTCTTTTAATATGATTCAATCCATAGGCATTATTATAGCCCATTTCAGAAACTCTAGCCCAATTATGAGTTCTATCAAATAATAAGGGAGATTTCCTTAAATAGGACTAAATAAAAGCAAAATTGTTGCAAGAATCTCTTCCCGCTCAGGTCTCACCGATTTTTATCCACAGAGGATATCAATCACCACTAGGTCAAAAGAGGGAGTAGTGGGCAACAGCCAGCACACCTTTTTTCGGCCAATTCACCCCTCTTACGCGATTCTCCCGTCTACTTCCTTGTGCGCTTCTAACGTATCTCCTGGTAAGGTAAGTTACCATCTTTATCTTTGGTGTTTCGCCTATTTATTCTTCTCCCCGTTTGTAATTGAGGCTTGCCGGAAAAAAACCTTCTTCTCTTAAATCAGACTGTCGCTCCTCTGTGGGGTGATTTGGCCGGAAAAGGTGTGCTGGTCGTTGTCCACTTCTTCCTCTTTTGACCTAGTGGTGATTGATATCATCTATGGATAAAAATCGGTGAGACCTGAGCAGGAAGAGATTCTTACAGTGGTATCAGAGCCGGGAGTCATATGCCGCCGTTCGCCGCCGCGTCGCCGCCGCTCGCTGCCGCCTGAAGTCGCCTGTCACCGGTTCAGAAGCTTCCAGCGCTCAGAACCGGAGCTCCAAATGCTGTCCAGACCTTCTGCTGCCTCGGTTCAGCTGTTTCCACCGTTCAAGGAGTGCTGCCGCTAGTCCAGTTTGCTGCAGCCATCCAGTACGTGCTCTACAGCAGCCCACGCTGCCTACGGTAAGTCGGGTAACCCAATCTCGAGCCCCGCTCAGGTAAATTGGCTTTAACTCTACTTGGTGTACCGGAGTGCCTCCGGATTCATTTTTCCTCTGCATCCCCGCCGCTGACCTACGTGGTCTAGGACACCGGGTGTGCCCGGCCCCAGGTACGTGTTCTTAATCTTTTGTGTGATTATCATTCATAGTTCATTCATTTTAATTGTTATTACTTGTTTGTTGAATCGTGAATTAATTTTTCGGTGAAAAATATTTTGTTTGGATACTCGTTGTCCAAAATTGTGAATATTTCTTCCGGTTTAAATTTAATCACGTATTGAATTTTTTGATTTTTTGTCTGTTGATTCGTGGACAAACTTTCCGGTGAATAATATTTTGTTTGGATACTTGTTGTCTGAATTTGTGAATATTTCTGTCTGGTTTAGTTTTTAATCCCGTTTCATTGCTTGTTGATTTAATTCTAGCCTATTTGTGCTTGTACGAAAGAACAAGGAGATTGTACTTGAGTTTTGTGCTCATTGGTCTTATCGGCTTGTTCGTGCTAGTTGCTTCGTACAATTGATAGCCCTATAGGTTATAATTAATCACTTATCTGTTTGTTGAGTAAATAAAAGTTTTATCTGTGCTTGTACGAAAGAACAAGGAGATTGTACCCGAGCTTTGTGTTCATTGGTTTTCTCGGCATGTTCACGTTTGTTGCTTCGTACTGTTCATAGCCTGATAAATTTTATTTACTTTCTTGCGTGTTGTGCTTGCTTTCCTGTTAAGATGGTTGTCAATCAATATGGT